GAGGGGTTGCTATGAATTGGGTCTGACTTGATGGCAAATAAGAACAACAACAACAACATGAAATGTTCACTGTCAGGGCAAACTTTAAACAACTGATGAGGCTTTTCAATGAGAATCAATAATGTTTTACTGCTGTTGCTATAGGAGATACAGTGTCAAATTTATGTTCCCAAGTACAGAGCCATAGTGTGTGACCACTGTATTTGTATACACAACCTTCAACTTGGTTATTGATTCTCAAGTATTTTTTAATAATCTTATTTTATTTATGGCATTATTATAAAGCCACTTCCAATACTTTTTAGAAGTTGATGGAAAATACATGATAAATAAACACATAAATGCATTTACTATGTCTCTCTGCCATGGTTGATACATATCACTTGATACTTGAGTCTATTGATTAAAACAATAATCTACATTCATGGCTAGCAAATATCTAACCAGAAGGCTGGCAGTTCAAACCCACCAGCCACTCCCCAGAAGGAAGGTTAGGCAATCTACTTCTGTAGTGATACGGCCTCAGAAACCCAAGGAGGGGTCTGAATATTCTTTCCTCATTTGTTTTTAATTTCTTTTCCAAATTCCCACCCTTCTGTATTTCAATTTCACATAATATATGCATAATTATGCTCTTTTATATATACTCTATTAATGGGGAAGTATACTACAGATTGTACAAATATTTGACTAATTCAGTTTTTACTCAAGAATGCAAATTTACCTCTATTATCTATTTTCTTGGTAGTTAAGTCTTTATTAATAGTGAAAAAAATACATTTGGGTATTAACACATCTGAATCTACATATCTGAATCAGATATCTACACTCTTAAATATATAAAAATGTAATGTATTTTAGAGATTATCTTCTGCATATATTTTCAAGATCATAAAATACTATTTTCAACTACTTAATAATATACTAAACACTTAAATATGATCACTCATATGTCAGTTTATCATACTGTGGTGCTCATCTGTGGATAAAAGAAGGGCATCCAGAATGCTCCTAGTCACAGAGAATGACCAGCTTTGTTTCACCTATTTGGTCATGTTCTCAGAAGGGACCATTCCATGGAGAAAGAGACCTTGCTTGGAAGAGGATCAATGAAAAGGTGGAAGACCCTCAATGAGATGGATTGACACGGTGGCTACAACGATGGGTTCAAGCACAGCAGGGATTGTGAGGATGGCACAGGAGCAGGCAGTGTTTTGTTCTTTATTACACAGGGTTGTTGTGATTCAGAGCCAACTTGATGGCACCATGAACAGCATAACAATGTTCTAAAGTCTGGAACAGCACATATTTTATATGTCACTTAATATAATGTTCATTGTATGTTGTTGTTGTTGTTGAGTGCCGTTGAGTCATTTCCGACTCATAGCGACCCCATGCACAGCAGAACGAAACACTGCCCGATCCCGCGCCAGCTCCACAATCCCTGCTATACTTGATCCCATCATTGCAGCCACCATATCAATCCATCTCCTTGAAGGCCTCCCCCTCTTTCATCGACCCTCCACCCTACCAAGCATGACATCCTTCTCCAGGGAA